AGGGGGAGGAGGAACAAGGAATGATACTGTCACAGCTCTGATTACAGTGGAGAAAAAACATTCCCAAACTGGATTTAAACTAACGAAGCAGGGCATTACCCTCTCCAAGTACATGTCCATCTTGCGTTTCACACCTTGTGCTCAAAAATACTGAGGTAAAATGATCAGCATTTCCAGAGCTAGCTAATTTAAAGCTACTTCAGATATGTCTTTGCTTTGGTCACCATTACAAGGACTGCGGTGGATGCAAAACCAGAGGAAGATAGAATAGATTTGTTTTCTAAGCAAAATAAACTACTCTATCATTTTAGACCCATCTCTTGGATCAAGATAACAACTATTACTCCTGCATTTCACTGCTGCAGAGCTGATTTGGATGCAGTGGATAATGAAAGAGAACTACTACCATGAAACAACATAATCAAAATCATGCTCTTTTTCAGGTGGAGGCAAATAAAAACCCCATCACATTGGGCCTTACATTTATATCATTTTATATGATTTAAAGTCAAGGTGGTAGATGAACGATGATTTGAAATTTATTTGGTTTTAGTGTGATTAGATTCAGACCTGAAACAGAGTGATTTTATGGACACATGTCTACATAGTTTTAATGGGGTCTTTATTAAATATAAAATTACGTGATAAAATATGTATTTGTTCCTTACAATATCATGCGCATATATTTTTTTAGCATAATCTGATTTCTATGCTATGGTGGTGCTAAATGGAAAAAAATGCATTTCACTTCAGTTCTGAACATGTCTGTATTTTCCAAGAGCAATTCTTAGAAAATTGCAAGAGGTTATGTCTAAGGTCATATGGGCCTACAACAGTGGATTTCTTTATGGTATGAAATAGAGATCTCAGAATTGCAAGTAATAAATATGATTTTGATAAGCACTTCTACACAGGAAAGTAAGAAATTCCTAAAAAGTTTTCTGTGAAGCACCTTCCTCTTCATGTCCTGTATTACTCTACACTTATAAATAATAAAAAAGAAGGCTGATAACAGTAGCTTTATGTAAGCAAGCTTAGAAATCACGCTCAGATAAGTGCTTTTGACCTAAATCTTGTAGCGCCTCGATCTGACATATAACCCCACAACTGTGAAATTCTGTATGAGATTTAGCAGTTTGAAGCTGCCAACTGACCCAGCCATAAAGCAGCCAGAGATAAGGATTTAAGGTACGATATGATACAATTAGACATTCACCCCCTATTTATTTCAGTCCATTTCAGTATTTAACCTACTTAAAAGTTGCAAGCTTTTTATTAAAATGTAAATGCTAGTGTGCCGTGTATTTATAGGCAGCGAACAACAAGAAGAAAAGGCTCTCATAAATTAGATTTCTATGAATGAAAAGGGTAAACAGGAGATGCTTCTGCAAAAGTCTTCTAGACGTGCAGAGATAAAGGATGGTTCTACCACACAAAATAATCAGATACAAAAATAGCTGTTCAGAAACAGCACACCTAAGGAGTACTTTAATCAAACATTTAGGTTACCTGCCAAAAGGACCATGATCTCTTCAAAATGCAATGCGGATTAAAGTGTTATCTAACACAAGCAGAAAACTAACCTTGGAGTGGAAGTTCGAAATGTGTTCATCATAATTTTCATGTCTTTGGACAGAGAAACCAGCTTTTTCAGCTAGATTGCAAAACTGGTTTAAAGTATTCCCTCGGAGTGGAGCAAATACCATTGCTTTTCCCTGGAACATTAAAAAGAGAATTTATACATTTTTAAAACTGGAAGGGAACCAGATATAACATACACCTGACCAAGCTTTTAACATACTCAAGCTGGAAAAATCAATTGTTCTCTTGGTAAAACATTGAAACAGGGTAATATAAATAACTCTTCAAAATATGCAAGATTTCTGTGATTAAACAAATGCAAAATAGAAAGTAATAAATAAATATTTTCTATAGAAAACTGCCAACTGCCATACATCTGCTCCTTTTCATACAATAATGGTGGCTATGGATTACCAAAATAAAACACAGAAAAGGCATACAAAACATACACTAGATTCAAAATCCATTTGTTAGCTCATGACCATGCAAAGACCGTAAATAACCATTTTCTTTTTTCACTCACACACACAGAAGAGTACCTCCCATTTGCTGTCAGTGGAATTACAACAGTGTAAACAAAGGCAAAACGGGAGGCAAATCAGACCCAATCATTAATTTTCTGAAGTTATTTTAAACTACCTGAGCAGTACAACTGAATTTGACCTTAAATTGGTAAATTGCATTTCAAGCAGGACTTAATGTTCTTGCATAGTAATTCTGGATCTTTCAAGACGATCAGGCTATTTATGATGCCCAGGCAATACATTCTGGTCCATTAGCTAATTTTTTGTTCATCCTTCTGTATTTAAGAAAACAAAAATGATTGTACCTTGAACTGATAAATTTTAGACACTGTGCAAACTACTACCCCAAAACGTAACCTACTTGATATAGCATCTCTTGAAATCTTATTTGCAAAATTAATTCTAATTGGCTGAATACCGTGTTCTGTCACGTGGAATGAAAACCGGTTGAAGAGCTGTAAACAAAGGTTAATATCAGCCAACAGCATATCACACCGAGGGGAGCCACAAAGTTTACCACGAGTTCTTGTATTTAACTTCTATATTAATGAGAGCTAAGACTAATTGGTGAGGTGCTGTAATCAACTGAAGAGACAAAAAAATATTTTTAGGGATCTGAAGAAGTTATAAAATGATCAGACGTTGTAGAAGAATATTTGGCTTGAGTAAATTGTATACCACAAGAAAAAAGCGATCAGAAGAGAGAATTTCAGTGGGAACTCTGGGAAGTTATAATGCTGACACAGATACTTAGCGAGGAGGATGGGGACAAATCTGTGTGCTACAGCTCGTGAACACATATGCTGAGAAAACACACAGAGCGGCAGTAATAAAAACTCCATGTCAGTATGGTACTGATGTGTACTTAAAAGACTCCAATCATTAACACCACAACATTGTATTTATTCTCACAATGACTCTGTGAAATAGGGAAATACTGTTATCTTCATCTTTCTCATGGGAAATTTAGGCACAAAGGAGACCTAGGGCAATGTCCAGAGCAAATCACTTCTGTTGATCTGTGTAGCTCTAACTTTAATTCTGTGGCTAAATACGAGGTGCAGAGGGGTGTAACTCCTACTGAAGGTACTGGAATTGCTTATGTAAATGTTAGCTCTGAATACAAGCTCAGCTCCGGATGGAAAACATTAAACACAGGAAGTTCGCAATCGGTTTCCTCACATCCTTGGCATGCTTTAATGTCATCAGACACAAGTCAACAGCACATGGAGCCCTTGGCTGAGGTTCCTCCTCCTATTGCTGCCACCTCGCGCTCCCCAGAGACCCTTCCTGGCGTAAGAAAGACGAGAATCTTCTGGAGACCCTCATCGTCATGGCTAGCTTCACAGAGAGGTCACTGTAATGGGAAACGTGGCCGCCACCATGGCCTTACTGACCACACAGTTCACGCAGAGACTTCAGGAATGGCTAAACCCGGTGAACGGAGATGGCTGGGGACCAAAGACCCTGCATCAGCCACTGATCCAGCAGCCTCACTGCATTCACACTTCTAATTTTAAAATATTTTTCATTTCTTGATTGCTGTACAATAAAAAAATCAGATCAGTGGCCTGGATTTACACATGATGGACTATCCCAAGGTTGTTTAAATCAAAGTTTTTAATTCACAAGTGACTCTCAGTTTAGGATGGTGTTTGAAGTTCAGAATGGCCTTTCCCCATCTGGGAAAATACTTCCAACAAACTCGTGAACAAAATACAGAGGAAAATGTCAGCTACAATGGTTTGAAGTGTCACTAAAATGCTGCAGTAAGATAACAGGACACATGTTCACATTTTGGACATGACTATGACTAACTCTACTCATCAATCATTATTAAATGCAGTCTTATTTGCTGGAACTAATGACAGTTAAATAGCATTCAACTAACTTCATTGAGACTTTGAATGGACAGGCCACAGAAGAATCAAAGCCTTCATAAAAAATAGAACTTGGAATTAGAAGTACATTTTAATGATAGGAAAAAATAAAACTAAATGTCAGCAAATCAAGTAGCTTACTTATAAAAGGAATAAAATATACACATTCAAGATAAATTAGTCTGAAGAAAAATTTCAGTGCCTACTTCTTGGAATTGGTTTACAGGTGACATTGGCCTTTGTAACAAATTCAGATAAGTAATTTCAGCCCCTTGTAACTCTGTGAGCTGCTCATTTCTGCCTGCGTGAATGTCTGGTCCCCTCTTCCTGTGCCAATACAACTGTCCATGGGGCCATAATATGAATCAGATGACTGAAATGACCACTGTCCTGTTTCCAGGAAACTAAAAAGTTACCTGAAACACATAATTCTGTGCCATAAGGATCCTAATAGCCACAAATAACTTCTTCAATATAACAGGAAATATCTCAGATAAATTTATCTGGTTTTAAACTAGCTGTAAGAATAATTTAATTACCTGTTCTGAATTTTTCCTTCAAGACAAAATAGTAAGGCATGTTCTGAATCTGAATTAGCTGACTGGAGTTAAAAAGCAGCAGTCAGTCCACTTTTGGTTTAAAGTCAGGTTAACAATCCCTAAATTGTCTACAGATAGGAACTTGAGCCATGAACAGTACTTTAATTCAAGCTGCCTTATTGTAATTGGTTTTTAAATCAAATTCTCTGGATGGGCTAATCAACCCAGGTAAGGAATGTGTGTGTGTGCATATACAAATGTATGTGTGTACTCGTGTTCTTGGCAACACAGACCGCCAGACCACGATTAGCTCCTGCTTATGCAGGAGACAAAGCAACTAACAGCTATTCTTCCACTACAGCTAGAGGCTCTAGCCAGGTCTCAGGTACCAGGGCCTCTCTCACACGCTTCTCTCCCTGCCGCTCGTAGTCTTCTCCCCTAGCATCCTTTCATGGAGCCAGTACAGTGACCTATGGAGCTACCTGAAGAACCAGTTGCAGATGTTGATGTGGCCTGAAAAAAACCAAATTCTTGCATTTTTTAAAACCGGTATCAGCTGTGTGTTTCAGGTCACCTCTGGTCCCCAAAATTATTGCACCCTGATAACTGATGGTCCATCATGAGGGTCAGAATGCATCACTCCGGGCAGAAGCTGCTTAACCTCCCCTTGCTGCCACTGACAGAAATATCTGGGTGACCTTTTCCTCAGGGTGGCTGCATTTCTCCTGTCTTCCTTGCCCTACAGCTCATTAAAATAATTCAGTCTTAAGTAACTTGCCTTAGGTCACTCAGGAAAGTCTACGATAGAACCAAGAATAGAAACCTGATCACTCTTAGCAAAGAATGGGATTACTTACATGGCTAAAATGATTCATTTTCTTAAGCCTTTGCACGTTTGGGTCTTCTATTCCTTTTGCAGAGAAAATCTCTTGTACAAAAATTACCATACATTTTTTAAATGAAGTCTGGGAATGCATTGCTATATCCTGAAACACTTCTGTTTTGAAATGGAAAGTTTACCTTACTGGAAGTTTTGTATGGTAAGCATAAAAGGTAAAATTACTTTTTCAAATTCCTACTTATAGCAACCGCTTCACATGTTTGCACATATTCTCATTTTGCTATCTTCTCTTTAAAAATTTTTTTTTTTTTAGATTCAATGGGTATAATATTTGTGGGGTATAAGTAAATGCATATAACAGCTCTTTTTTTGCCTATTTCTGTGATTTAACAGCCTAAAAGATTGAGATCAATAAAATATTTCCTCAGTGACACTAATGTACAACATGTAAGCATTTTACGAAAAGCGTAACTTCATTATGTTCTAAGGTATAAAACATGTAAACACAAGGCTTACTTAACGGAAAAAAGTTTTAGGCTACAATATATGCATAAGGGTTTTGTTCATGTTATATAAACAGAAATGAGAAGAAAAAAATATTCTTTCATAATAAATAAATACACAGTGACAAAGGTTACAATTGAAGGGATTACAAATGACAGAAGCCAACATAAAAACTTTCAATATCATACTTTTACTTTAATATGAAGACATTATTATCAAAGGAAAATACTTCAGAAATGCTTTGATAAAAATAATCTCACGCTATCTTTGAAGCGGTTTCATTTATTTTACTACCCACTGTGTTCCTTATCAGAAGGCCAAGTATAAGAAGTTTCCTAGTTTATGATTAGGAAAGAATCTGATAGATTAGAAGACTCAATTGAAGTTGGACATAATAAGTATTAAAGTATTACATGACATTAATCCTGCCATTCCATTACTCTCTCAATCATTGTGCACAGACTAATTATTCTGAAGCCAGTGTTCAGGAGAAAATAGAAACATACTTACACTGGGTTGGAGTAATCTCTTTATTGCATCAACAAGGCTAGCTCTGTACCGGTCCAGAAACAGGCTGACATTGAGAAGAGAACAGAATCCAGATTAAAATGGGTTTTCAATTCTAATGATACTAATGCAGATAAGTACAAGGCTAATTACATATGTTTACACAATGCTGTAAAAGAGAAACTGTGGTCTACATTTCTGTCCAGTTCAGCTACTTTTAAATATTAAAAAATACATAAACCCAAATATAATCTAAACCAAAGATAAAATACCAGCATGAAACAGACCTTTATATAGCTAAAAATCACACATCACATATGTGAGCTATTAAACCATATCATAAATCAGAATCAATAGACAAAGTTAACATTTTACATTTTTTTTATATGGAGTGTGTGGAGTTTTAAAAATTATTTTCTATTGTATTTCAGGTATCACTATTAAGTTTTTTTTTTTTCCCCTCTTATCTTCACTTGTGGCATTACTTCATTATTATCTATTATGCCTATCTGTTCTATTTATATGTCTATCTATCCCTATAAAAATTTACAGGCCCCCTACCCCCCTCTCTCCTTCAAACACTGTTCAAATACAATGACCCAGATCGTACAGAGTTGTCCTCTCTCAGGAGTGAAATCCTTCATCTCCAGCACGGGTCCCGCAAGGATAGCAGCAGAGCCAATTTTCCCATGCAACGCTGCCAACATGCTCAGCCCTATTTTGACGTGATTACCTCACGATTTGAGGGGATAATTTGTTCTTCATGCCCCTCAGCACCTTAATGTATATACTAATAGTGGCAACCAGGGTGCCAATCACTCTTGACTAGGTATTTGTGGACATGTAGCTACTGTGGATGAGAGTGCATTTACAATGGTTAGTGAACAGCCATCGGATAGCAACTCATGCTTTTCAGTCCTTACTACCACGGGCTGCATTTATACTGGCGATTCAGATAAGAAACTCTATCACGCAGGCCACAAATAATCTGATTCTTTCTTCATTATTTTTCATGCTTTCTGTGTAATAAAACTGCTTCCCAGCCTGTGTCAAGCTCAAGTTACACACTACATGGTATTTTTGTCCATTCTTTACGATTCTTTTCTATATTTCCTTTTTCTTCATTCTCAAACATCTCTGTCTGAAGAGATGCATTTTTTTCCCAGATTTGAAATTTCTAAAAGAATATAAAGAATATAGGAAAACACTGAAGAGAAAAAAATGGTCTGTGAACCACATGCCAGTCATCGAGAACAGACGATGTGTGGCTATTTAGGTAAGGATACTCCACAGCTAGCAAGGAGAATACAGTATTACATTTCATAGGGTCAAGCAGCTGTGTAAGAGCTGTGAATTTTTCCTACTCAGGAAAAAAACCCCAAAGCCTATCAGAAAACTGGTTACTGACCAAATTTGATCAGTAAAAACTGGCAGAACCTCACATTGTTGAGAGGTGGTAGACTGGGTATCTGTACATTTCTTAAAGAACATTTCATATAGAAATATGAAAATCTTCTTACTGAACAAACCTTACTGATCAAATGCTTGTTTAAATTTAAGTCACTGAAAGAACAGCTGATATCTCTAGTGTGTCCTCGGAGTTTCAATCACATTCACTTCAGGTACAGCCCTATGCAGATAGATACCGTAAGATACTACTTCACTGGGAACTTAGCCACCTGCAGAAGAGGTGGAATACAGTGCATGAGTCCTCTCCCAAAAGAATAGCTAAAAAGCATTAATTTTCTTCAACATGAAACATCACAAGCATGCACACATTTAAGACTTGCTGAGATTCTGTGTAGCAGAAGTACATTCCAAATGAAAAATGCACTTACAGTATTTTTATTTTTGAAAGCAGTGTAGTGGAAACACAATTTTGGGGCAGCTTACCAGTGGTAAAATTCCTTTTTCATGGACCTGCATACCATTCTCTCTTTTTACAATGAGATAGGGGCACAACTGCTGCCACCAATCTTGTTCCTTTACAATGAGGGAACTACAGGCCTTTGTTCACTGAGTGTCTGAGAACTTAAAATAGATGACCAGCCAAGAGATTAGACAAATTCAATAGTACCTTTTCTGTCTGACTCCCACTCGATATTTTGGTGATGTGGGAGGTAGACTCTTAGTTTGGGAAACCCAGATAACCTGAAACAGTTGCCCTGGCTCTGCTTCCAAGTTGCCCCTGTCTTCCTCAGGTCTGTCCCTGGGTACAGGACCTGCTTCAATCGAAAACATTTTCCAATATTGCAATTTCCAACCTATTGCTCTGAGCCACATACTCTGACCAAAGTGAGCAGAGAAGGCTGGAAGCAATGTTAATGCAATGCAATGACTCCAGGGAACATGTCTATCCTCTCTTGGGGTTGGAGGATGCCTTGAATGAAGAAAATCCTGAAGAAGTTATTAGATAATCTGTGCTGCAGACAGGACTGCCACAGGATTTGGCCCATGCAAGGAGATTTAGTTATGCAATTTCTCTTACCAGTAGAATTTGTACCATTAAATACTACCACAACATACTGAAAATGTACCCGAGAGAATCCTGTAAAGCTCACAACAGCTCAGTGAAATTAAATTATGTATTGTTCTAAACCATTCTCACTCAGTTCTCATACCTCAGTTCAAATTTGTCTCAGCTTTCCATTACTTTAGTGGTAATGTCTCATGTTTATGTTGTAAAAATGCTGTGAAAGCAGTAGCTCAGGACAGGAATAGCAAGGGTTTCTCAGGTCAGCAAGGAAGTTTTGGAGCATAGCAGTAGAAAGGCAAGAACACAGTTTATGACTTGGCTTTTGTTTAGGCAGTGCTCTTCTCTTGTGAAATCTGGATGAATAGGCAGGCAATCTTGTCACCTCTCCTTGTTGATTTTTTGTTTGTTTATTTGTTTTGCTTTGTTTATAATGTTAAATTACCATTAAAAAAAAAAGTTTATACTAAAACTGTATGGAAGTAACAGTATGCCACAAGGAAACAAATTAAAAACCCACGTAGATTGTGTTTGCTTTATGCTGATATCCTTTTATCTCGCGCCTCGCAACAAGGGGCATAAAATACTTGTATTTTATAGGCTATGATGTGAAATTATCTTTCCTTTTGCATACTTTGCAATTGGTAAAAGAGCTTAGTTTACAGGTGTACTTCACACATGATTACATTCCTGTATAGTGCCTAGTGTATAGAGCCATTTACCTTTTTGTTCGCATCAACTACACGGCTGACATAAACTGAAAACACCCTTACTTCCATGTCGTCAGATTCCAATGCACTTGAAAGTATGTGCAAGAAATCAGGCTTAAAACAAATAAGAAATTTAAACTGAAGGACAGATCTTACTGCATTCAAGCAAAAAGATTTCCTTATATAATATGAAATACTGTCAGAGACAAAATTGACATATTTTAAGATATTTAAAGAATACTTTCAGCTCAGTTCTACATTCCCAGTGAACCCACAACCCCCCATGACTTCAGCACAAATCTCAGCTGTGAGAGCACTGTGGGACAGCCCTCCCCACCCCTGGCCTCTGTTGTGCAAATACTTATGCATGTGCCAAACTTCAGGAATATAATCAGTCTAAGTCAAGTGGAATATTACACACTTCCCAAATGAAATGGTGATCTAAACCTGATACTGTCTCTACATTAAAACTGTTTGTGAAAACTTGTTTCACAAGAACGTGAAAGACAGAGATTTGTCCACTGGCTCAGTCCTACTGGCCTTGACTCTCTCTTTAGATCAAAAATCTCAGCGACCTTTTTCTTTAAAAAAAAAAAAAAAAAAGTACATTTGCTTTCTTTTAAATAATCAGAAATCTGAGGCTCTCAGGTTTTGTAAGAATCTTGTTTTTGGCCTGTCCATACAGTCCCCTGTTATTTCTCCTCTTCTGTTCATATTCACTTTTACAATTCCAGTGCCTGCATGATTTTATATCCACAAGTGCAATCCAAATGAAAGTCCAAAATCCTGGAAGCCCACACCTGGCCTTAAAATTCTCCCTCAAAAATACGAAGTGGGTGGATATGCTTTAAAAATTCCATTATTTCACTTTTTTCTTTTTTCAGTGTATCCTTCTTCCAGGTGTGGCCTCACCAACATTTTTTTTTCCCTTATTTTTATCTCATAGTTGACATTTTATAAGTTATTTCGGAACTGCTGAAAAAATGAAACTATTTTTATTGTCAAAATCCTGAATGGTTAAATAATGACTAGCTTTCACAGTGTGCCTCTTATTTATTTTATAATCTAGTTGAGCTACTAAATTTAGCTGTTAACTAACAGACTGTCTGTTCTGGGAAATAACTTATTTTCCACCCCTGCACACAAGGTTTATGAAAGTCTGACTGTAAATATATGAATATAAACATATCGTTGCTTGTTGTAATCATGTACATTTTTACTTGAACCTCCATGTGGATTTGGAATATGTTTATGAATAGAGCTTGTTTTCATGTAAATGGGATCAAGCAGTACCACTGGTTAGCTATTCAGAGAATCAGACAATATCACCCTTGCTGGAAATACTTCAATAAAAATTTATCCATGTACCTAATATTTGAACTCAGATTTTTTGCTTTCTAGTTCTCTGTTCTAATCCCAGATTTTATTGACTGACAATGAGCTATATGATGGTGTTAAACTAAATGCAATCTATTCTATCTGTTTTTATCACTGCATACTTCAGGTTTCAGCCGAGGAGTTGTAAGAAAAGATTTTTTTTTTTTTTCCCTCTTCAATGGCAGCCCAAAAAAATTCAGAGAGCAAAAACCCTGCCAACAGTTCTCAAGCCAATTCTGTATCTCAGAAGAGAAATACATGAAAATGAAAAGAAGATTCGAGTTTGATAAAGCATGGAACATTTTTTCCCCCAGCCTTTTCATATACCAGAGAACCTAGTGTCCATAACTAAGAGAACCATTTCTAAAAGAAACAAACAATAAAGGGATTTTCATGCTTATTAAACTGGGTATTTGCAATAAGAAAATAGAGTCAATTTGTGAATAAAAACACATACCTTAAACTAACATGCACATTTCTATTTATTTTTTAGAAATCGATAAATATTTATACACTTACCTGCATCTTAAGTGCTTCAAAATAAATGTACAAGATGCAGGGATTGCAAATGCATTATGTATTTTACCTGTCATGTTTGATTCTTTGTTTCCTAAAGAAACTACACTATTTCCAAACAGACTGGGGGGAGTATTAGGCAAGAATATTACTGCAAGAAAAACAACTCAAGTCTTGCTCCACTCTGCTGTACTCCCAGCACAAATAGGATGACATGGTGTGAGTATCAAGAATACAAGAGATGGCACAGCCAGGTTGTTTTGATATTTGTGTGAAGAACAAATTTAACTCTAAATCTCTTGGCAAGACCTTGCTTCACCCACGTAATCTGGAGAACATCCATATGTGAGCCTTGTCTAAGCCCCCGAGAAGACTGCTGCCCTCCTGCTCATGTCCGCCAGCACTCTGATCTGACTTTCATACTTAATCTGATCTAATCCTGTCCAGCATTAACTTCATCTGTGCAATGAAACCTGGAGTATCCATTCTAATATTTAGTGAGGAAGGCATTTACTAAATTACTTGCCGAAATCATATGGTGTTGTTTAGCTCCTTATTTTAATCAGATGATGCATCTCTGAGGCACATTATCAGCGATTAGTTAGAAACCCTCCTCTGTCCTTTTTGGGAACAAAGAACTTTTCTAAAATTAAATGCTAAGAGAAATGAAGCACTGTTGCATTCTGTCAACAAACAGGTATTAGAAAAAGGAGGAAAAGACAACTAAATACATTTTCACCGGTGCCACACAAAACCAGTAACTCTTCTTGAAATAAGGAGAGTTTGCTTAAATAGCAAAATATCAAACAAAAAATTAAAAAAAGAAGCTTTAGAGGAATATTTTATCAGAAGCCACTTTAACAGAACATTGTTTAAAAAGACAATAGACAGCTTTGTACTTCCCTTTGCCTTTTTCCTTTAACTATTTCTTAGTATGGTACAGAAATCTGCCGAACTGAGCTGTCCTAGGAAGTCCCTGTTTTCAGAATTTCGTCTCTCACAATAGTTACGTGCAAGAAAACATAAACAGCTTTATCTGGTCTGGATATTTGAAGGGTCAAGAGCAAATATTCATAATGGAAAGACAGATTCATTTAAAAATATCTACTCTGCTAAATGAAATTTGCGCATCCCTTTTTACACTGTCTTCATTTATGTTACACAAATAATTAAAAATGTACCCTTTTTAAAGTTAGCATGCAGCCTATGTAGCACAGCACAATTCTGCAAGTTCAGTATCAGAAAAGGGTTGTGTCAATAATCAAATCTATTTGCATAAATTATTAAACAATATACCATATTGTAACGTGTATTCTCCTTTTCATAAATTAAGTACTGTACTTTTTTCTTTTTTTAACTATGAATTCTCTTACAATTAACATGTGCCTGTGTAAATAACATAAAGCCTACGTCTATAAATATTGCTGTCAAATTGATTTAAGAAACAGAATATGATGGGGGGGGAAAATAAAGGGTTTTGAAAATCTTTTTTTCCTCAGAAAGATTTTCCGGGGAGCAAAAAATATATCCCCTTATATCAATAGTCAGATCTTTCCTAAGAAGTAAGCTAATTGAGCTGTTTGTGTTGATAAACTCCCTTTTCTCCAGACTGTTCCTCACTGAGCCATAATTATTTGCAATTTGCCTAAGTCGTCCATTTACTGATACGTCAAGCATGAAACAGAGGCAATTCCAGAAAATGGAAATGCTTCTCAAAATCAATCTTTGGGAAATAATGTGGTAGAAGTTACTGTGTGATAGAAGACTACCTTATAACTGTCACATGGAGATGAATATTAATTTGTTGAGGTTAAGGTGGCTTTGTGCTTCATTTGTTGACTTTGCTTAGCCATCAGCAAGCAGCACAGTACAATTACTCCAGCAAAGCTATTTTTCTAACATGAGTTTTATGATTTTTATGTACTTACCAGTCAGCACACATAACAATGTCAAAATGTCCTTCCAGTTGAGAGACATCTGTCTCATTATCCCATCGTAAAATGCTAGAGGAAAAAAAAGATTTAAAAAAAGAAAAGAAAAAAGGACTTACATTTTTCATCCTGTGATTTTCAAAGTATTAATATTATTCTTATGTGACACAGAAGTGTTTTAAAAAGTATACGGTCGTTACTTTCAAAGATGAATGTAAAAATATGATTCTATACATTTTTAATGTTTTAAATCTCAAAGCCAAAGAGCTATCTTTTTATTATAACAGAAAGGCAATCCACCCAGTTTCTGATCGCCAGCAAATATGCACTCCTGAATCAGTGGCACATGTATGGCTTCAGATTTTTACCCCTTAACACCCCTGCACAAGGAAGTGAAGTCAAAGTATTGACATGAAGCACAAATTTGCAGAATAGATGTGAATTCATGAATCTTTGTTACATCTGGCAGGCAAGTCAGTTATGTTTCTCATTGATGAAGTGAGCATTCACTTGGGCTGGAGGGAGGAGGCACAGGGTGAAAGAATGCCAAGCTTAACTTCAATGCCAGCTATGTTGCCCCAGGCAAGCTTAAACATACAGCAGTGCTGACTCTGTCAACACCTATTCTCTCACAGGTGATAAGTTATTTAATTCTAAGGTACCCAATAGTAGGCAAAAACGTACATATGTACAAAGTTCTTTTTTTTTTGTTTATAAATGCTGCCGATTTGTGTAGCTACCACGAAGAATTTCGACACCTCGTTCGCATTTAAAAAGCAGCAACTAGTATTGGAATTTACTGCATACTTAAAATATCATTATCCCGAAGATTTGAAGCTGCATTTCTATTTCCAGTCTATTAAAAAAAAAAAAAATTCTACCCTTTTTCATTTCCTGGTTATTTATAATAGAAAGTAGATAAATATTTATGGGAAAAGCACTTGTGGGGGAAGGGTCTAATCTGATCTTGTCAGGTTGTGCATGCTTATCTCAGTTTTGTATGAGTCTTGACCAAATAGACCCTTTAGTCTTCCCGCAGCTATAATCTACTTCTGGTTAAAAGCCATCTCCATTCACATCCTACTCCTAATATTTAACTGAGGATCAGTTATAATACGTTCATTCAGAAATGCTCCCTAAGTATACAGGGAAAAAGGGAATTTTATACATCGTCTATCATGTATGCAAAAAAGGTTCTTAAATACATAGATATAGAGCCACAAAGAATTAAAGTACCACAATATACGTGTACGTGTGCACAGGCACAATTTTTGAGAGAGAATGCTGTTGAAACATGGAAATTATGAAAGGAGAGGCCCAGTTGTTGGGAAAGCTTTGATTATGTGTGGCTCAGTGTAACTGAACAGATCAGGACTCATTAGCCCATTTGCCCTCCTGGAATTTACTGTGACAATCCAAAGAGAGAACAGAGTAGATTAATTTAATTTTTCCCCCTCAAATTGAAAGTATTCCCGATTTTAGAAGCCTAGGTAGCTTTGCACACTGGCACGCAGCAGGCATCCAGTAGTGGAAAGTGACAAAGGAGAGTTCTCACTCTCAGCTGCTGGCTGCCTGCTGGCTACCAGCGGCTTTTTCAACTCTGTTTCCCTGGAAACTTAGGTTAGAATGGTGAAAATTAGGTAAAGGTAAGTTTTGTGGGTTTAAAGCACGCACTCTAATACTTTAAGAATCCTGAAGCAGAACTGAAAATTGGTAGATGAACTGTGAGCCTTAAAAGGCCAACTTTGGTTCTCATTGCTACAGAAACGGAGATCTGATCAGTACCACTACAGGGATTTGAATTATGATTTTTTTAACCCATATATTTACTATACTTCACACATGCAGTTCGGAAGGCAGCACAGGTGCTTCCTCCTGGGGGGGGGGGAAAAAAAAATCCTTCTCTCATGTTAGTCAGGTTCCCACTGAGGATCCAAAATACAGCATTTTCTGTGCACACCTAATGTAGGCACAAAGGAGTTTGTGAGGGTAGGTGAACGCCCAGAAACCATAATGCTGAGCAAAATCTGGAATCCACAAGTTGCCAGGAGCATGAGCCATGGTGCAAGGTGACTGGTGTGCATGCTGTTAGGAGGACACGTGTGCTAAGGGCCCCACATCTACCCATAAGCCAGCCTTCCTCCACCTTCCTGATCTAGCACCAGGGCTGCTCTTCCTCTCTAGCTCCACTCCAGTTGCATTCCTGAAGACATGACACTTATGCAAAGGCCAGTGATATATTTACACACCAGATTTTCAAATTTAACTTTGCCATTGATTTTCACAAGGTACAGGAAAATTTTTATTCCTGTGGAGAAATAGCCACATCATAAACTGAAGATAGTTTCTATAAAATAAACACCAACAGGACTCATTCTGATGATGTACAGACACTGGTGGGAGAGATGCAGCTACAAGCTGTATATATTTATCCAAGCTATCTTTAGACAAGTGCAAGTATGACTAGTAAGTGGAGCGCAGCTAGCGTATGCGAAGCTCAACACAAGCTGCAACCTCAGAAACTGTTTAGGCAGCTGACTCTGGGCTACCATATCTACACAACTTTATCCATTTCATCTGCCACGAATTTGCATGAGCTGCTATCAGACATCTGCACCTGCACCTGTAAAGCAGACATGGCCCTGCATATCAGGGAATCCAAAACCATTTTGCCCAAAGTCAGCATTATTACATTATTAACACTGATGTCAGAATCACCCTGATTCTGAATCAGAATCAGCTATTTTGAATTCTAGTGCTAATGAAAGTAGTGACTCAGAATCAGGACGTATATAAATACCATCAACTAGCCACACAGGCTCTTGAAATCCAAACACAATTCCCGAGGGTGAAGCACAGAAAGATCACTGATATTGCAAAAGAATTCTGAGGAAGGTAAAGATGTGTGTATGTCTATTCAAATGCATGTATCTATATGTAGTGTAGGGGGGGAGGATCAATAATTTTTTCAGGGATTATTGAGGACATGACTCTTGGACTTAGTGGTCAGACCTGAAAGAAATACCGGAGGCACCATGAAGTAAGGGCTGATTGCATTTCCATTTAAAGAAAAGCACTGCTAGGAAACCCAGAAAAGTGTTAGTAACAGAAATCTGAAAATCTCAGTCTTTATGAAGTTTTCTTTAAAAAAAAAAAAAAAGACATAAGTGTAAAAATACCATACCACAAAAAGTCCTTTAAATTGTCAGTATCATATTGAGTGCCAACATGAAAAAAATCACAGGCCTTTTAAATATTCTCCTCTTGTTATTTTTCCAATGATGCTAAATTAGTGGACATAAACCGCTTTTTTCTGAAGTCAACTTTTTTCCAGCAAAATAAGAATCTTTAAAGCTATAATATTTTTATGCCTTTCTTTTGGGGGAAGATGCTACAGTCATAACATCTGAAATTATGGTGAAAATTTGAAAAATGTGCTTTACTCTGTATTTCTGTCCAAGCTATACCTTCAATGGGTTTTTTTTGTAAAAACAAAACAAAAAAAACCCACAAAACCCAAACCCAACATATTAAAGCCCACTCGAAATTGTTTTGTGCTGGCTTATTTAATTAATGCAGATTTACTTTCCTGCAATTGCAAACAGGCAACTCAGTTTCAGCAGCAAAGGGTCTGAAACTCACTGGAAATATAAGAAAGTTCTGGACCTTTTTTTGGCTATAAGAACAACATTAAAAAATGAAATAGGATGCAAGGGAAAACCAGCCTGCACTGTTCAGCTGCTACTTAGGTCAAACTGATGGTGGCTGAAACTTGGTACCCACTAATGGCTGCTTTATGGCCTGTATCAAATGAACTTGACCAGTTTTCAGGGGAAAAGTACCTACGTCACAAATCTGTTACTATAATTAGCAATCTTGATGGCAGCTCTAGCAAAAAGGACAGGGACCGAATGAGCTATGGAGAATGAACTATCCTCGCACATGCAGAGGTGGCTTTTCCAGGTCAGGGATAAAGCATATATTGAAAGAGTCTGAGAAAATATGTACTGATGCTTTAGTTTCCTAGGCTGTCATCCTCACACCACTCTAAAGCAACAAATTCATTAAAAAAACCCAAACAACACAGCACAAACAATCAAAGCATTTTTTTGCTTTTTTTTTCCTTCCTGATTTATCTTTTAAATTGACAAGGAAGCCAGAAATGTGATTAGGTCAAGATAAAAAGAATTGTAATGATAATAGAACAAAAAGAATAATTAAAAAATAGAGATATTAAGTACTACTAGTACACTCTAATATCCCCTTGTATTTCAAAGAAAAAAACCCCAACACCACACAAACATAAAGCAAATGCTGCAGGGATAGTTACAGCAGCCAAGGCTGCACTTTCCTTAAGCAGTAACTCTAATTTATGGAGGATAGCCTGACAAATGTCGACACTCTTTTTCTTACACTGGTAAAGTATCTCAGCAATCTGCAACAAAAGACCTGATTTTACCAGGTTTTTATTTCTCATGCAAAATTCCTCATTACTATTATTATTCAACTTCTGTTATTCAGTGTTTGTCTTCCTAGTGTGTCTAGGCAGGTAACTTACATGAGAAAAAACAGGTTAAAGCTCTGATTGTTAAAACTTGAAACATTTCCAAGTCCCTCTGAGACGTTCTTGTGATGAATGGCACAGGCTAGTGTAGCTCTCAAGTCAGCAGAAAAGTAGGTGTGCAGATAAAGACAAAAAAATCAAAATTAGAAGAAAGGACAAAAGACACAAAGCCCTACTTCCTTCAAAATGTATTAGTAGTTTTAATAACGGTTAAAAAAAAATTGTCCCGCTTAGCACATGAACAGCTACCAAGAACCCCTACCTACCCACCTCTTCTTTTCATATTTTAATTTAGGCTTCAGTCTTTGAAAAGCATTATCATTGGTAAGTATACAGGTTCAGGTAAAAAATATTGTCTGGGGGTTTATGTGACTTTTTCTGTGACACTAACCAAGCAAGTTCATTAACAGATTAACAAAAGGCATTGTCAGGATGTTTCTCCACACCTTGATCTTTGTTTAAGATTCCTCAGTTTTACATAAGGATCAAGAAGATGGATTTTAATCCA